ACTTAACTTGTGCAAATATTTCTTTTCCACTATCAGCTTCAGAAGAAGCCTTTTCATTTGATGATTCAGTTTCATTATTTGCTTCATTGTTAATTTTTTCTTCGCTCACTTGTGAAGTAGTACATTCAAGTTTGGACACAAGATCTCCGGTAACCATCATATCCCAAGGTTGTGGGTAACGTACTGATACACAATTATTTCGAAACATACTACCATTTTCGTTTTCAATTACACTTTCGGCGGCTGTAGAGTTTTCAAACTCTACAAATATTAACTTTTCATAAATAGATAAACATTTAATAGCTCCATATGGAGCTAACCACGCTCTCAGTGAATCAGGTTTCAAATGATGAGCATTTGTTACACTGTTGACTGTCCATTGGATGACAGTCTAGGGGAGATGGCTAAACCCTGATTCCAAACCTCCAACGACTGGCGTATGAAGCTCACTGGAGCTCACCGGCAGACGTATGGACAAAGGGCTTGTTGGATGTCCTGGATGTCTGGCCCCATTCAAAAAGGCGTATGAACCGAACTCCGGTCACCGGTTGCCAATGGATAGTGGACTCCCTACTCCACTCCTACTGCCTTGTAGGTCACACTTGGTTGTGTAAAGGCTAGAGCTGCACTCTCGAACAAAAGGCCGAGCGATTCTGGAGACTTCACTCGTACCGAATTCCCATGAAACTTCATGAACTCTCTTACAAACGACTCTCATCATGCTACGGCGTTCCCGGTAAGCGACGCGCCCTGTGCTCACCCGGTGGCCAGTGTGAAAAGTAAGCCAGCTGGGAAATTAACACTTAGAAACCAACTATTTGTTGGCTGCTGGAATGTTAGGACGCTGTTGGATCCTGGTAGCCAGTCTATCACCATGCGTTCTTTATACGACTACAAGGTGGACATAGCGTGTCTATCTGAAGTGAGGTTACCCGATCATGGCTCCCGCCGAATAACCGTACCTGGAACAGATTCTTCATTCTGGTTGCTTCATAGTGGACCCCAGAATAATTCCGGACAACATGGGGTAGCATTTGCTCTCAGTAACAAAGCCAATAATGCCTTAATATCGTTCGAACCGGTCAACTCCAGAGTTGCAATCGCTAGGTTCAAGGGTTCCCCGCTCGACATTTCTGTTCTCGCTGTCTATGCCCCAACCCTCGACTCTGATGAAAGTATCAAAGACGAATTTTATGACAATCTTCAAGAGGCAATCAACAAAATCCCAAAGCGTGACGTTCTCATAGTAGCCGGCGATTGGAACGCCCGCACTGGCCCTTCAGACGACGTGACAAAACATATACTAGGCAAACACGGTCTCGATCAACACTGCCGTAATGGTGATAGACTTTTAGCTTTTTCTGATTACAATCGATTATATATCACCAACACTCGATTTCAACACCCTAGAAAACATCTTCTCACCTGGTATTCGAACGACGGTCGCACTGCACATCAGATTGACTACATCCTAGTGCGCTCACGCTGGATCTCCTCGGTGGAGGACTGCCGATCCTACCGTGGCGCAGAGGCCGGAAATAAAGGGGGATCAGACCATACTCTAGTTAGGGCGAAATTCAAACTTCGTTTAACAACACGCCAGAAGGCGCGACCTCCGAAGCGTATCAATGTTGCCCCGCTTCAATGTTCGATAAAGCGACAAGCCTTGTCCAAACAAATCCAGGCCGAACTAAGCGCCGCAGATGAGCCAACATCCACATCTTCTAATACACCTGAGACACGATGGAATCATTTCAAAGAAGTAGTCTCTAAAGCTTCAATGTCGCATTTGGGTACCACATCCAACAAACAGAAAGACTGGATTTCAGAGTACACTATGCATCTATCCTCGCAAGCCAGAGACGCTCGCCTAGCAAAGTCTCCAGTTTATCGCTCCCTCAGGCGCAAAGCTACACAGTCTGCTAGGAATGACAGAAATCGCTACTGGTCTAATGTGGCGACTAACATGGAAGGAGCATCAAATGTAGGCGATTTCGGAAAACTTTATCGCCTCATACGCCTATCATCTGGCAAACGCCTTAACAGCCATGCTGTGTTACGCACAGCATCAGGAGAAATTATTTCGGACACCAATGGTAAGATGGAACGATGGGCCGAAGATTTCAAGCAGCTACTCAATCGCAACGCTGGTCAACCGTCTCATCGACCGATACGACACTTACCAACACCCTACATAGTTGACTGCGATCCACCCACTCCAACCGAAATAGCTAAAACAATTAACAGACTCAGAAACCAAAAAGCTCCGGGCGAAGATGGTCTACCTCCAGAAATATACAAGGCCTGCACTCCAGCGCTAATCGATTCGCTGCACTCGCTGTTCTGCTCAATTTGGGATTCCGAAACCATTCCCTCCGATTGGAGCACCTCAGTTTTGCTACCGTTCCACAAAAAGGGAGACAGGTCAATATGTGAGAACTACCGAGGCATAAGTCTGATTGATATCGCTGCTAAGGTTTTTGTTTCCATTCTCCTGAACCGCTTCGCTGCCGAACGCCACGTGCGAACAAGGCCAAATCAAGCCGGATTTCGACCTGGAAGAGGCTGTGTTGATCAATTATTCACACTGCGAAGAATTTTGGAACACAGGGACAAATTCCAACAGCCAACGGTTGCTTGTTTCATCGACTTCCGAGCGGCATTCGACTCAGTTGATCGAGAAGCATTCTGGTGTCTAATGGAGCTCGACGGAGTTCCGACCAAGCTAATCAACCTGCTCAGGTCATACTACTCCAACACCAAAGCTCGAGTCCAAGTGAACGGTGAAGAGTCTCGCACTTTTGAGGTAACCAGCGGTGTCCGGCAAGGTTGTCCAGCATCCCCCATCCTGTTCAATTTCACAATTGATTGGATTTTGCGGCACGCCCTAACCGAGCACCACGGCGTCCAACTTTCGCCCGATATTCACATAACCGACCTCAAATTCGCCGACGACGTCGTGTTATTAGCTGAAAACTTCCCCGATATGCAACAGGCGCTCGATCAGATAAACCACCTCGCGTCTACTATCGGTTTGGAAATTAACACTTCCACCAGCACTGATGAAATCTTATACCTGAATGGAGCACCTATTGAAATTGTGCCATCCTTCAGATATCTGGGATCCATAATGCTTCCCAACGGTCAAGCGAAAAACGAAGTGAATGCGCGAATCTCCAACGCCCGGAATGCGTTTCTTCAGCTGAGGAGCGTTCTATGGAGCAAGAGGGAAATCAGTCTCAGGACTAAAATTCGGGTTTACCAAGCCTCCATACGACCCGTTCTCCTGTATGGCTGTGAAACCTGGCCTCTTCGCGCGGAAGATGTACGCAGACTTGAGGTAGCAGACCATTGGTGCCTCAGGTACATTCTGCATGTTCGTTGGCAGGACAAACTCTCCAACGAAGAAGTGCGTCGTCGTTGCTACAACATCAACCAAATTCCAGTACTGGTCCACCAACGTCGCCTTCGGTGGTTTGGCCATGTTCTGCGCCGACCAGATGACGATCTGCTCAAATCAGTTCTGAATCCCTCGCCATTACCATCTTGGAGATGTCGCAGGGGTGGATAGCTGAAAACATGGCTTGGTACAGTCAAGGCTGATATGGAGTGCCTGGGGCTACAAACCGTATACGGACTCTGTCTGTGGAACAAGAATTGGATAACCCTGTCGCAAAACCATGCATCAGATCGCCGCGCTTGGGCAGCGATGATTCGAGATGTTCATGAAGCCGGCTCATCCTCTCGTAGGAGATAGCCGAAGTAAAGTAAAGTAAGTAAGTATTTGTCACACCATCGATGACAACAGTGCACGAATCAGTCATGTTTCTCAATATCAAACTTGAAATGTCTTCGCCGCGCCGCTCATCGTAGTTCTTTTGAATTTCTTCTCTACCTTCCTTAATCACATGGAGCATGGCAATCTGAACTTCTGCATTTCAGTGAAAATTTTTACGTTGAAACCCAGCCAAGTTAGACAGTCATTACTTGTTAATTTCCACAGCTCTGTCACACGCCTGTGAGACAGCTACTCTTAACTATTGGTTTTCAGCAACTTTTCGTTCAGTCCCTGTTGTATTCATTGGTATTGTTAAATGAATTAGCACCCAACGCATCTGCTTTGCAGCTGGAGTAGCAAAATATGTGGTTACATTCA